TAGAGAAGATGGCTGGGTGCTACCATCTGCTTGGGATCCTATAATAAATAAAATTAAATCCCAACCCAAGCATACAACTGCAAGACTCCATGATACCATAAGTTCATACTGTGTAGATCGGAACAAAAGTTAAATTTTAATCTATGGTAACCGCGGTTAACTATGACAGCTGGACGTTGAACATCTCAGTCCTTCCCGTGACCATGGGTGCTGTAAAGCTCTCGAAACGTCGGGTAAAAAAAGTTAAATATACGCGATAAATTCCGTAAAAATTAGTATTATTTCAATGTGTAGTGTTCGCGTAAATATAAGAAATCATTATATCATCTTAGTGTCGGTGGTAAGCGGGTTTGTTGTAGCAATACGGCTTTCCCGTGGACAAAAATACCGTTTGTGGGCGACGTCTTAGTTACGTTGGCTATCTTTCGGATTGGGATGAGTGTGTTTATTAGCACTTTTAAGTGTAACAAGCATACTCAACTTCTTGTCTTAGTGCATTAGCGCTATAATAATAATAATAATAATAATAACACCCCCCCGGGGACCACCTTGACGTGGTGGGGGGGCTTAAGGGGAGGCATGAACCTAACAGCGGTCACTACGAACTTGACCATACCCTGTATAATTACCGATACAGGAGATACATTTTATTAACCACTAACATCTTTGCTAACCCTCCCCAACTAACGGTCCCACACCCAAACCCAAATGGAGAATAATTATGGTATTAACAAGAAGTAAACGGCCCCAAGTGCTCGGCGGACCCAGTAGCAGCACTGGTTATGACGGAAGCCAGCCTGAGACTGGGCCTAGGGGTGCGAAGAATCCCCGAGTGACGAAAGCAACCCGTCGAACGACCCAAGCGACACATACGGACTCCGACATGCTAAGCGATATAATCTCATCGACACCCTCACCTTTTCATTCATTTGAGTCATCTATTTCATCTCCACGTTCATACCAGACTTCAAGGAGATCAGACTCTGTATCACCCATGTCTGAGGACGTTGTGCAGGAGGCTGTAGCCACTGAACCTGCACCCGCCCCAGACAGAAATCGTGCGCGCAAAAGATGGACAGAAGAAATGAATAAATTCATCTGGCGCACGTACCTTATAGCCACTAAATTAAATACTAACAAAATATACCTCGATCATCTACATAAAGAATTCACTAATAAATATCCGCAGATGCAGGCATCGAGACAAAGGCTGGGAGATCAATGCAGAGCTATATTTAGAAATAAATTACTTCCCCAAAAAACATTAGATCATATAAGGAACGAAGTTGCAGTATACTTACAACAAACACACAGTAATACCAATCATATACAAACCGACTCGATCACGCGATCACACATGCAACCACATTTTAGCAATCAGCAAGGATTGACACAAAGAAGACGATGGACAGCTGACCAAAACGAATCTATTGTGAGAAATTACTATAAAATCACCAAACTTGGAGAAAATAAATCAGCTTACCGTAGACCCCTCCATCAAGCAGTCATAGAAGAACACCCTGAGTTAACAGGTGTAAGTGAACAACGAATATCAGATCAGCTCAGAGTAATATTGAACAATAAAATGATTAATGACCAAAGACTTCAAAAGATACGCGAAAATATAGCAAGCAACCGGAATTCCCGACAATATGGAAAATAATTCATCACATTCATCACCCGAAACAGAAAACTCACAAGAAGTCGACGTTCATCCATTCGTTATAGAAAGTAACACCCCCGTGCATACACTTAACTTAACCTTACAACCTCAACCTGACGAATCAGTGATATCCACTCAAGCCTCTGAACCTCAAAAAAAACAAGCAATAGAAAATAATGACGCGAAAAAAATCCAGGAACTGTTTAGAATAGCAATAGACAAATTTCGGAATACCAACCCAACTAAACGACCTTATATACCAAAACAAAAAACTTCTAAAAGGCTGGCACAAATTGTAGATTTTATAAACACTAAAATATTACCAAATCACATATCGAGAGAGCAGGATTTTGAGACCACTCAGACCATAATTTACTGCGTAGCGTACACAGTAGCTATAATTAACGGAACCAAAATCAGAGACATAAACATAATACCTACCCAAAGTCGAAATAAAGAACCTGCTTGGCAGAAAAGGTTAAAAAGAAAGATATTGGATTTCAGAAGAGACATTGGAAGGCTAACAGAATATACCAAAGGCAATAGAAGCAATAGACTCACCACTTCAGTGGAAGCAATAAAAAATAAATACCGAATACATTCCCAGCACGAAGAACCCAATTTAAGCGATGAACAATTCCTTGACACACTTAAACAAAAACTGAATGCGGCATCCAGCAGATTAAAAAGGTACCTTAATTGCACACTTAGGAAGTCACAAAATAGCCAGTTTATCAATAATGAAAAACAATTTTATAGGAGCCTGACTTCAGACACACAACACGACACAAATAGAAATATGCAAGATGCACCATTACCACCCGCCAATGAATTACATAGCTTCTGGTCTGGTATTTGGTCTATACCGGTTCACCACAACACTGAGGCAGAATGGCTGAAATCAGATTCCGAAGTAACTGACTCTATCACACCAATGGCATTTGAACAAATACCTCTGGAAGTATTTGTGCATATATTAAAAAAAACCCATAGCTGGAAAGCACCCGGAAGTGACCGTATACATAACTACTGGTATAAGAAACTTTCAACAATTCACCCTCTACTTCATAACCATATCAATGATTTTATACAAAAGCCAGACATAATGCCCCGATACATTACACAAGGCCACACATACATGATTCCGAAAGACGCAGATCATAAAAATCCTGCCAAATTCAGACCTATCACATGTCTCCAAACCATTTATAAACTACTTACAGCATGTATAGCCGAACTCTTACACCAACATATAGCCACAAACAACATCCTTACTGAAGAACAAAAAGGATGTCGAAAAAGTAGTCAGGGGTGTAAAGAGCAACTCATAATAGACTCCGTAGCAATGAAACATGCTATTTCTAAAAGGAAGAACATCAATACAATGTATATTGACTACCGAAAAGCATTCGACTCCGTACCGCACAGCTGGCTCCTACATGTACTTCAACACTATAAAATTCACCCACAACTTATACATTTTCTTGAAAAATCAATGCAGCACTGGACAACTACATTAAAAACCATAGGAACGTCTTGTATAGAAACGTCAGAAATTCCAATACGTCGAGGAATCTTCCAAGGGGATGCGCTTAGCCCTGTATGGTTCTGTCTCGCATTAAACCCTCTCTCGCAAATGCTGAACAAAACCAATTATGGTTACTCTATCATCACACCACACAAACACACCACTCTAACACACCTGATGCACATGGATGACATAAAACTATACAGTAACACTACACAGTCATTGCATCGCCTCGCAGACATCACCCAATCTTTCTCAAATGACATTCATATGGAGTTTGGGATTGACAAGTGCAAAACTTTCTCGGTTAAAAATGGAAAAATTAACCCCAACAGCTATAGCCTAGTAACAGGAGACACGATTGAACCTCTAGAACCCCACGCCTCATATAAATACTTAGGTTTCCAACAAGCGCGACAGATCCATCAAAAGGAAACAAAAGAAGGTCTCAAAAAGAAATTTAAACATCGGCTCAATAGTATATTCCGGTCTCAACTCAACTCCCGCAACATGTCAAAAGCAATCAATAGTTACGCAATCCCCATACTGACATACTCGTTTGGTATAATAAACTGGACTCAAGGTGACCTTATCATCTGCAACGTATTATAAATACCACTCTAACGACTCACCGCAAGCACCATCCTAGATCATGCGTGCAAAGGATGACTCTTTCAAGATCCGAGGGAGGACGAGGTATAATAGATGTCCTCAACTTGCACAATAAACAAATCAAATCCCTTCGACAATATTTCCATCAACGCTCAGAACACTCACTTCTCCACGAAATAGTAACCTTAGCCGACAAACGCCTCACACCACTTAATCTCGCGGACCGAAACACACAACGTAGGGAACGGATCACTGACGTAAAAGAGAAGATGGCCTCATGGCAACAGAAGTCCCTACACGGAAGGCACTACCACGACCTGCAGCTGTCACATGTCGACAAAAAAGCGTCGAACGCCTGGCTGAGGCGCGGTGAACTCTTCCCAGAGACGGAGGCATTCATGTTAGCGATCCAGGACCAGGTCATCGATACCCGAAACTTTCAGAGACACATAATACGTGCACCTAACCTCCCCACTGATACTTGCAGACATTGCCACTCTAGTCCCGAAAACATACAACACATAACATCCGCCTGTAGAGCCCTTGCACAAACCGACTATAAGCATCGGCATGACCAGGTCGCCTCCATAATACACCAATATCTAGCCCTTAAATTTAAATTCATACAAAAAATGACACCATATTACAAATATAAGCCGGACACCATATTAGAAAACAATAATCATAGAATTTACTGGGACAGGACCATTATCACGGATAAAACTATTCACTTCAATAGGCCCGATATCACAGTGTATGACAAAAATAACAAAACTACTTACCTTATTGACATTGCCATACCAAACACTCATAACATTCAATCCACCATAGCTGAAAAACTTACAAAATATCAAGATTTAGCTATAGAACTCAAGCGTCAATGGAGAGCAGAAACCATCCATATAGTCCCAATAGTTATCTCATCTACCGGAGTTATACCTAAAAGCCTACAACGCAGTCTAGATATTTTGCAAGTACCCCAACACACACTTCACACACTGCAGAAAGCTGTCATTCTCAACACATGCCGACTCACACGCAAATTCCTCATCACGTCATCCGTCACCTCTGCTTACACCATCACCTAGCGCCTGCTCACGCTTGGCTTCGGCCCGTGTGATTAGGTTTTAAGTTACCTCTTTAATAGGGAGAATATAGATATGTACAAAATATAATAATAATAATAATCCCCACCAGAAGGCTTGGTGTCGGCTGGGTCTTCTCGGACTCAGCAAGCGGCACCCGCCGCTGGTGGAGCACGTCGCATGCGTTGGTCACAAGAAATGAATGCAAGCGCACTGCGGGCGTACTTTAGGGCAAAAGGGGAAGAAACTGGATGTTTGGCGTATCGGGCTAGGATGCATCGTCTTTTTACTGAGCTGGAGCCATCTTTAACCGTCACAGAGCAAAACCTGGCAGACCGAGTTCGGTATATTTTGCGCTCAAATATATTTGATGTCGCCGAACTCGAACGGCTACGACGTGAGGCTGTTCCCTCGTCGGATGAGAATGCTACGGCTGAGGATGCGGCACCACAAATGGTAGAACAACCCGCAAACGTGGATGCCGCCGTGAATACCCCAGTTGTGGTTGATTCAAGCTATGATGGAACAGTCGCCCAGGAACTGGAATTAGAGCATATGAGGAGTACATTGGAAGAGGCGATTATGGAAACGCGCAGTAGGCCTCTCGAAAATCGACCGCGACTTCCCAGCATAGCCCTAAGCAAGCGGAATCGGGCTGTCGTGAGGGCTCTGAACCCAATGCTGGTGACCTATTTGGAAGCTAGCCGGGACCTTTGCGAGACGGACTCAATTCTTTTTGGCGCCGCGCTGGCAGTCTGCCGTATTATAGGCGCCAAGGTTTCCACGGCTGGACGCACTACTGGCCAAAGTAGCGCTATCCCAGCCTGGAGAAGAAGAATTGAGGAACGTATCGCAAAGGCTAGAGCTCTCATTGGCAGACTGATATGCTTCAGGTCAGGCAACAACAGGCCAAGAATTGTGCGCACCGTCAGGATGGCGTTTGCTGGGACAAATGTCAGTTTGTCCCAGCCGGATATAACGCAAAAACTGACGGAGCGCATAGACGACCTGAAGCAGAGAATCGCTGCTTGGGGAAAGCGGATTCGGCGATATACCGAGAGGTCGACACGGTTCAACCAGAATCGTCTCTTCCAGAGTGATCAGAAGAGGCTCTATAAATCATTGGAGCGACCAATGGTAAGTGGAACGGGCCCAGCACCGAATCAGGCCGACACTGTCGCATTCTGGCGCGGCCTGTGGTCAGAGCCCGTAAACCACAGCGAGGGCCTTGGACGGAAGTAGTGGCGAGTCAGTGTGCGGGTATTACGCCCATGGACCCCGTCACCATAACGCCGGATGACGTAGCTGAGGCGGTCCGTAGGGCCCCGAACTGGAAAAGTCCGGGGCTCGACGGGCTGCATCACTACTGGCTGAAGGGTTTCATGGTGTGTCACTCTGTGCTCGCTCGACAGTTTCAAGAGGCTCTCAACCAGAAGTCGCTCCCGAGCCTCTTCACTACTGGGATCACCCATTTGGTTCCTAAAGGCCAGAGTACCACAGACCCGAGCAAATAACGCCCCATCACATGTCTACCGACCATATACAAGACACTAACATCCATTTTGAGCGCGAGAATCACTCGTCACCTGGACTCAAATCAGGTGATGTCGCGCGCTCAAAATGGATGTCGGGGCGGCGGTCGTGGAACCAAGGAACCACTCCTCATTGACGCGGTCATTGGCAAAGTGGTGAAACGCAACCGTCGGAACTTCTCCGCCGCCTGGATAGACTACAGAAAGGCATTCGACTCGGTGCCCCATACATGGCTAAAGAGAGTCCTCGAGCTGTACAAGATAGACTGTACAGTTAGAGACTTCCTCGAGCAGTGTATGGGGCAGTGGAGTACGATCCTTTGTCATCTGGGCGAGCGGATGATGGCTGCGGAGAACCACATAAGGATAAGAAGGGGTATCTTCCAGGGCGATTGTCTGAGTCCAATATGGTTCTGCCTCTCTCTGAACCCTCTCAGTACCTTACTGGAGGGCTCCGGGAGGGGATTTCAGCTACGGAAAGGAGGGACAAAAGTGACCCACCTTTTCTATATGGATGACCTCAAGTTATTCGCCTCCAGTCGCTCCCATCTTATGGAATTGCTAAACATCACTTGTGAATTTAGCAATTCCATTGGAATGGAGCTGGGGACGGATAAGTGTGCGGTCCTCCATGTTGAAAGGGGAAGGGTTGCTAACTCTGAGGGCGTAGACTTATCTATGCCCGTCAACTTAAGGACCCTTTCCGAGGCTGAAACATACCGATACCTGGGTATGTCACAGAACATCGGTATCGATGAGACTGGTATGAAACAGTCAGTTTGCGACGTGTTTTATGCACGCTTGACCAAAGTGCTTAACAGCCTTTTGTCCGGTGTGAATAAGGCACAAGCATATAACGGCTGGGTCATGCCTGTCCTCATGTATACCTTTGGCATACTCAGGTGGACTCAGACTGTACTTAACGCCCTGGATAGAAAAGTCCGCACTACCATGACGTCCCATAGGATGCATCATCCGAGATCGTCGGTAATGAGGCTGTACTTGCCGCGGAAGCATGGTGGTCGTGGTTTCTTGAGCGCGCTCACCATGCATAATCGCGAAGTGTGCAGCCTCCGTGATTACTTCCTGGCGAGATCGGATGATCCATTCTATAAGGACGTCATTTCTTGTGATAAAGGACTTACCCCTCTATCCTTAGCCTACGAGCAATGGCAAGACCCGGCAGTGCAGAGCATTTCCGACCGGGAGACCGTATGGAAGGAGAAGGAGCTCCACGGGAGGTTCTACAAGGCTCTACATGAGCCTTTCGTAGACACAGTAGCCTCCCTCCACTGGCTACGCTTTGGTGATCTCTTCGGGGGAAACCGAGGGTTTTGTCTGTGCAATACAGGATCAGGTTATTAAGACCAACAACTATCGGAGATACATCCTAAAGGATGGCACCGTCGACATCTGTCGAGCTTGTCGCCATCCCGGTGAGTCACTTAGGCATGTTATCTCCGGTTGTTCGGCGCTTTCTAACTCTGAGTACTTGCACAGGCACAACCTAGTAGCCAGAATTCTACACCAGGAGCTCTCTCTGAAATACGGTCTCGTGGACCGGAAATTGCCGTATTACAAGTACTTGCCGGAAGCCGTGCTCGAAAATGATCGCGCCAGGCTCTATTGGGACCGGGCCATCATCACAGACAGGACTATTCTTGCGAATAAGCCTGATATTGCGCTGATGGATCGGGTACAGTCAAGGATATTTTTGGTCGACATTACCATTCCGTATGACGAGAACCTCGTGAAAGCCGAAACAGACAAGCAAACAAAATATCTGGACCTGGCTCACGAGGTGACCGACATGTGGGGTGGTCTGCCGACCGAAATTATTCCTGTAGTCGTCTCTGCAAACGGGCTAATCCCAGTCAGCCACTCGGGTCATCTGAGGCGGCTGGGACTACGTGGCGGACCGCTCCAGGTTCAAATGCAGAAGGCGGTGCTCCTCGATACCGCCCGCATCGTCCGCCGGTTTCTTTCCCTTTCCCCCTAACCCTCGGCCGTTTGGTCTCCCCTGCCGAGGGCCTCCATCTGGTTGGGCTTTTATTTATTTATGTACTTTTATATTTATTTTATGTTATTGATATTTATGTATATTTATCTTTTCATTTTCATTTATAAATATATATTTATAGCACCCAACCAGATGAGAAAACTATATAGATACCCCATAATAATAAAAAAATGGCGGACGTTGTCAAAAGTAAATGATGCAGTCAGTACAAAATTTTAAAAATGAATTTTTGTAGCATATGTTTCAAGTTCCCAAATAACAAATTCTCAACGCAAATAGATTTTACAATATCAATATAAATAAAACTTTAAAAATCTGTGGATAAGAAACTAATTTCAAGAAAAATGTATTTCTTTCAAATTGACAACTGTCATCTAAGAAATTTTACAAACAGATTTATAAAACATTTAATTTAACGTTACATTATGCATCGAACGAGACGACAAATACGAATAAATACCACCAATACCACAATCGCACACGTAACATCGCCTACGGAGGGCTACACATCCATGGAATGTAATCCAAGAGGCACAAGAAGAACCCCCGTACCATCTTTGAGGGGACGAAGAGCGCCAGCGGCTGGCTTGGGACCTGCAGGAATTACCATCCTACATGAGGACCCCGCTACTGATGGTGTAGTGCGACGACGCATGCGCTGAACTAAAGAATTAAATATAAGTGTTATGCGCGCGTACTATAAGGCTACCAAAGGAGGAACCAATCTTACATCTTATCGCCCTAAAATGCTATCTGAATTCCAACAGCTACAACCCAACCTAACAAACTTAACTGCCCAAAGACTTTCAGATCAAGTACGTGTAATTCTAAGTCGTAAGATTTTGGACGACAGATTAATTGAACAACTTTGCGGTGAGTACTCAACATCTACTATCAATTCAATTCCTGATTCTCAACGAACACTTCCAGGTGAGACTGATGACTTAAATGTAAATAACAGTAACCATAATATAAATATTACTAACTTAAATAACGAAAAAGTAGAGCAAAATTGTTTTGATATAGATGTGAGTTCCCAAGACAGCGAATATAGTATGAAAAGGACTTTCGAATGTTCCCTTCTGGAATATAAAAATACACCAATAGAAAATAGACCGAAACTACCTAAACTTCCTAACAACAAAAAACTATTCTAACAGTAGCATCAATGAATATTCTATGTAAAGATTATTTTGAAAAAAGTAACTCTATTTTGGAAACTATGTCTCTTCTATACTGTTGTGCCCATGCTATGTATATATGTATGATAATGAAAATTCCTGTCATTTCAGTACAAAATTTTAAGAAAAATAATACAGAACCTAAATGGAAACAAAGAATTCAAAAACGAATTGACAATACTCGCAAAATTATAGGAAAATTAATAAGCTACCAAACAGGTAACAGACGTAAAAAAATAAATACTTTAGTAAATCAAATCGCTAATGAAAATGATATTAACCAATCAGATCCCCATTTTCCGGATAAAATTACTGAATTCATTGATACACAAAAACAAAAGTTAAAAGCATGGGCCAACCGTATTAGACGATATTCAGAAAGATCTAAACGGTACTTCCAGAATCGCACATTCGAAAGTAACCAAAAGTGGGTGTATCGGTCTTGGGAGAACACTACAACTAATAGTTGTACTCATGGCAGCCCAAGCTTAAATGAATGTCTAAATTTTTGGAAAAGTATATGGTCTAACGAAGTTTCTCATAATGAAGGCGAATGGATTCGTGCAACCGAACGTAAGTTTTCTAATTTGGCTAACATGGGTTCTATTTCAATTACTGCTGAAGATGTAAACTCAATTACTCGTAGATTACACAACTGGAAATCGCCTGGACCAGATGGTATACATAACTTTTGGCTGAAATGGATAACAAGTAGCCATGTGCGTTTGGCTGCACAGATTCAAGAAGCCATTGAGTGCTGTGAGCTCCCGAGACTTCTTACAACTGGTATTACCCACTTACTATATAAAAATGGAAACACCACGGAACCTAAAAATTACCGACCAATAACATGCCTTTCAACTGTATACAAATTAATAACTGCAATTTTGAATAAGAAGATCTATAAACATTTGGAAAATAATAACATTCTTTCAACTGCACAGAACGGATGTCGGAAAGGGTCACGTGGTTGTAAAGAACTTCTTCTCATTGACACAGCTATTTGCCGACAAGTCTTTCGTAATCGCAAAAATATGTCCGCTGCTTGGGTGGATTACAAAAAGGCATATGACTCTGTTCCACATTCATGGCTAAAGAGAGTTTTAGAAATATATAAAATAGATGACAAAATTTGTAAGTTTTTAAGTAAAGTAATGGGTCAGTGGAACACTGTCCTAAATCTACCAGGTGAGTGGCAAAGTAGTTCGATAGACTCTATAAATATTAAACGGGGTATATTCCAGGGCGATAGTTTGAGCCCAACTTTGTTTTGTTTAGCCCTGAATCCTTTAAGCACTGCTATTGAGGAATCCGGATTAAGGTTTCGGTTTCGAAAAGAAAACTCACCGATCTCACATCTACTTTACATGGATGATCTCAAACTATTCACATCAAAAGAGAGTAATCTACTATTATTGTTGAAATTAAAACATAGTTTCAACAATGATATTAGAATGGAATTTGGAATAGATAAATGTGCTGTCATCAACGTAAATAGGGGCAAAATTT